GGGGACGCCAGGCGGCCAAACCCGGCCCAAGCGGCCCCCGCCGCCGGGCCGCTGCCGCCAATCGACGAGAGGCACGGGGCGGGGACACGGGGTAGGCGAGCGCGCCCGGAGGTCACGTGGGAGGGCGGCCGGGAAGAAGGCGGGCGGGGGAGGAGGAGGAGGAGGGTGCTGGTGAAGCTCCCCTGGGAGCCGCCATTTTCCGGAGGGGGACCCCTTCCCTCACTCTTAAAGCGGCAGCGCTCCGCGCTGAGGGGCGGCTCTGCGGCGGCCGCGGCCGGGGGCCAGGCCCCGGTTCGGGAGCGGGAAAGTCCGTGGCTGAGGCCGCGGTTTCTTTCGGTCACCACGACCGTGTCGGGAGCGGATGGGAGCGGAACGGACTGGACTGGTGCGTGTGTGGGACCGAGGCTCGGCCCTCCCCTCCTCACAGGACTGCCCAGAGACCTGCGGAGTATCCTCAGCTTGCTCTTGGGTTGTTAATTGTCTATAATCACCAATAACTTTCCTTTTCCCCTAATTCAGTGCAGCGGTGAGCTTTACAGACAGTCATCCTTAGTATGTAGCTGGTTCTGATGGGCCCGCTGTGGGTAACCCGGGGCGATCCAGGTCTGACCCTCCGCAGTCAAGGCTTAACGGGTTTAAAATCAAAATGTGTGTTCATCTGGGTTTATTCCCTAAGAGGAGCACTGGCTTCTCGATTTCAGACCTGTCTTTGCAATGTATCTAGGCGCTTACCTGAAAACAAACTGGAAATCCTGTGTCTTGTTTCTAAGCCTTGGAATAAGAACCACTCCCGTTTGAAAGTAGTTTTGATGGTATTACATGCTATCTATAAATCTATCATTTGCATTATTTGGGGAAGTCTTGGGCTCGGCTGTGGATAAATCTTGTAATGGACAAAAAAAATAAGAGTGAGAATGGTTATTATATCTGGAAACCTGGGGAGATTTCATCTGAGGAAAATTAATTAGCCTGAAGTTATTCAGGTTCTCTAATTTGTGTCTGTTAGATTTACAAATAAAAGCTTGCATGAAACAGCAACTACTAAGATCTGGTCTGAGAATTTGACTTTTAAATGGGGATTTGATACAGTTCATTGGTGGGGTTTTTTTTTAATTAAAAAAAAAAACATGTTATGCAAGAAAAGGAACATAGGAAAACTCCTGCACTTGTATGACAGTTGTATTTGCCATGCATGTACTTCTAGGTTTGAAGGCTTAAATACAATCCCTGTCCTAAGAGAAAACAAGACTTTCTTTCCTGAATTAAAATCAGGTGTAAAGTCACGTCTAGGAGTTTGGAGGCAATGCATATTTTGGCTTGCTGTGTAATGTATCAGTGGGCTGAGTACCTTCAGTTGTAAAATTCAGTAGATGTTACTTGAAGCATGAAAGTTTAATTCACTTTACAGCTGTTTTCATTATTTTTCATTATTACTGTATTTTATTATTTGAGGATGAGTGAAATACTTGGTGCGTACACAACAAGGAGGAAGAAACATGGTTCTTCCCAGAAAAGGTCAAAGTCCATGCTTTCTGTAAGAACTGTAAGCCCTTGCCTTCACTGGCTGAACATAATTCGTATCAGTTCATGAAGCAAGTGGTGTAGGATCAAACCCTGAACTTCCCCCATCTCCCAGCGACAGCTTTGATAGCAAACAATTTAAATGACGTGCATTTAATATCTTGTTTTGAATACCCAAGCCTGTGTACAAGTGTTACCAAACTGCTATCAAGTGAAAAACTGAACTGAGAGGCAATTCTCCCTTTTTTACAGCAGCATCACATGAGAAGCCTGGCAGGGTTGAAGCACTCGCAGAGGTCGCCATGTTTCCTACCACCAGGAAGTGAGTGAGTGTTGCTCAAGCCCAGCAGCTATGGCAGCCGATGAGAGGGACTACAACCTGACAGAGGAGCAGAAGGCTATCAAAGCCAAATACCCACCGCTCAATAAGAAATATGAATGTGAGTATTTTTAACGCTATCTTGATGCAGCATATGTGTGACAGTGCAGTCATGAGGGGGAGGGAGGGGAAGGAAGATAGCAGGATATGCTTTGTAAGCACATGTGGGGTTTCTTAGTATGCCAGTATCGTATCTGTTTAGACTGTGGGATGCATCTGTAATTGAATTAATTGAGATATCTACAATTTTCTTTGTCACAGATAAATGCCTTTCTTGTTAAGGTGCTAAAGAAGTAATGATAGAAATAAATTAGTTAAGTCTCACCTTGAAAACTTTCCCCTTTCAAACTATTTCTTAGCAAGGCAGTACATTTTTCTACCTCTCTGATCTAGGAAGAGACATTCAAGAGTGTGTTGGTCTTCTGTGTGGTGTTTTTTCTCCTACCTGCACTACTTAAAGATCATTATCTCTCCCTTTCTCCACCCCTGGAATGTCTTCTAAGAACATGTCAAGCAAGTGGGTGGCAGCCCAAGGGCTAGCTTAAGGCACTCACAGGAGACCATTCAGTGTCAGTGACTGTTTTCTATTTCAGCGGTGTCTGTCTGGAGGGACAGTGTCTATTACTCTGTTAGAATATATATTTTTAGGATGTGTTCAGATCTTTATTTGATAGCAGTGCAGAAATATGGTGACATATTACAATAGTCATGCTGTTTCCATAACTGGAAGAGGTTTTATTCTTCTTTTACATCCACTGGAATTTGTTTGCTTTAGAGACTGTTGTTGAGAATCCATTAATAGTGTGTGAACGATCTAAACAGCATCAGAACAATCTTTTGGTTAGAGTGATCGTGGTGTGGCATTTATTTTACAACCCAAGTTAGCTCTGTTTCTGCCAACCTGGTATAATTTTGGATTTCTCTCATTCCTCTGAATGAATATAAATGATGTTAATGTAAAACTGGATACATGCTTGGGATATTAATCCTACCTTATTAGTGAAGGTTGCCTTCTATTTTGTATTACATACTTTTTTTTTTTTTTTAAATTCTCCTTTTTGCATAATGGGTGTTTTTGGGTGTGGACAGGTATATTTCTTCACTGAGCTGGAAATATTTGCAAATCTCGTCCTCTGCATGAATAATTTTCAGTCCTGCAGACTTCAGCAAGAACTCTTTACTACTGGTTAAAGTTTCTTTTTATTGCAGTTAACTTGTAGAAGCCTGTTGCGTTACAACAGCCATACCTTGCACACAGTGCTGTACATGTAGGGCACTGACATAATTACATTAAACACTGTTTTTCTGCTTGGCAGAAATAATCCCAGATTCCACCTGTGCTTTTTCTAATACACTGCAAAATTGTCACTGTTTCACATCTGAAAATGAATGCAAAAAGTTCTTGTTATAACAACAATATCTGATTTTCTTTTTTTTTTTTTAATCCTCATTTTTTTAATATGTTTGGTGATGTCATGCCTTTTCTTTTTCCTTCCCCCTCAGATTTGGATCACACAGCAGATGTGCAGTAAGTATGGGCAGCTGGGATTTCTCAATATGACAGATTGATTATTTCTTACACTGCAATAAATCTGGACTAACTGTTGAAGACTGGTTGCAGATGTACACCTTATGGAACTATGAAATGTCACACACCAGGTCTTTTGATGGTCAATTTTGGTTCTGCTCTTGGGAGAGCATAGAACCATGTGTTTGGTTTCTTTTCTAATGTAATATTCCTATGGTGCTTCTGATTAAGCCTCTGTTATTTGGAAATGTCTTTTGAAATCTCCTTTAATCTCTTCCTTTTAAACCAAATTTCTTCTGAGTAGTTCACTTTTATAGACATCAATTAGCTATATTGAGAAAGAACTTTCTTGCTGTCTGGTAGAACATTTATTTTCCATATTCTCCCAAGAAACTCTTCTCACAAACGTCAAGGAGGAAAATCTCTGTAATCTGCCCAAATGCATAGGTATAGAAAAGCAAGTATTTTTGTTCATTCACTTCCTCTGCATTAATTCTCGTGTCCTGATTGCTCACATGCATATTACTTGGGATTTTTTTTTTTAATTTTTTTTTTTTTTAACAGTCTGGTAAATTATCCCATGTCTTTTTAGGCTACATGCCTGGGGAGATACTTTGGAAGAAGCATTTGAGCAGTGTGTTATGGCCATGTTTGGCTACATGACTGATACAGAGACCGTGGAGCCTGTGGATACAGTAGAGGTAGAGGCAGAAGGTAAGGCTGCGTTCACTTTTTATATTGGAACTGTATGAACCCTGAGGGAGAAGGGTACCAACATTTTGAATCTTTACAGGTAGTGTTGTTGCAGTTAATTAAAATCTAATTAAGCATCACACTAATCTGAATCTTCTAATAGTGCAGAAGCTGTACATCTGACGTACTCTTAGAAATGTTTGGGCGTTCTTGCTGAGACAATCATCTGACTATCTTCTCTGCTTCAACCATGCAGGACATGACATGTTGTCTCTTCTCTTCCATTTTTTGGATGAGTGGCTGTATAAATTCAGTGCTAATGAGTTCTTTATACCGAGGGTAAGTATTCTGTTTTGATCTTTTTCCATTTGTAGGTCGAGGCTGTTCTCTGATAATACCAGCTCTAAATGCAATGTTACTTTAGGGAGGAAAAAGGGACACAGCAGATCACTTAAGCACAACACATGGAGAATTGAAAGTACCAGGGCAGAAAGACTTGAGAAACAAATTGTTAAGCTTTGCTACCACAAACACCAATTATTAGCTGCTATTACACAGTAGGGGCAGCTCTGCTGCCTTCAGGTTCCAAGTAGCAGTGTAGCTCTTTGAAGCTGCTCATATTCTCTGGTTCTAGATTCCATCTAAACAGTGGAATATAACCCATGTAAATGGGATTTACTGAGCATTTCTGCCTGAAGATAGAAGATGTTACTGACATATTTCTCCTCTTGCTTTCTCTGCAGGAGGTGAAAGTGCTTTACATTGACCGAATGCAATTCAAAATAAGATCAATTGGGTGAGCTTAAACGATGAGTTGAGTAATGAATATCTTCACTGAAAACGCACATATTGCCTTCAGAGTAACCACTCTGCAGTATCATGATGTGCTGGAGTTCACTGATGCTTTCTAAAAAGTGGATTGTGGACTTCTTTTTTTTCTTCCTTTGAGGCTTTAAATGAAAATCTCACTGTCCTGTGCTCATCAATGGAATTAATTACAACATTTGGTAAATACTACCAAAATTCCAACCACTTCTCTTCTTTTTCCCTTTAAAGGTGGGGAGAAGAGTTCTCTTTACCCAAACACCCTCAGGTATGCAGTGGTTCGTCTGTACATCTTTTACATTTTAGGGGTAGGGATGGGAGGTGTGGTGTCTTTTAAATCAGACCTCTTAAGTTCTCAAGAGATCCAAGTATAAACATGTCTGAACAGTATCACAGGCACTAAACTTAAGATCTCACTTTCTGCTTGTTTTTTGTGAATGAGTTCCTGAAACTGTTGACCTGAGCATCTGATGCTTCCTCAGCACTAGCAAAACTCACAGTTGGCTTCCTTTTTGTGACGCTGATAACACAGTAAACCAGTCTATATCCAGAATGTTACATGGGTTTGGTTTTCATGCTATTATCACAGCTTTTTGCTTAGTCAGTTTTTGCTTTTTTTTTTGATCTAAAGAATTGCTAGAAGCAAATCCTTATCTCCCCACCAGCTCTTCAGCTGTGTCAGTATTAGCATAGCAAATGTTGATGTTCTGTCAGAGGTAAGAGGAGGAATTTGTAGTATTCAAGAGGCAATAAAATAAGGGAAGAGTTACTTACTATTTGGCCTGGCCAAGACCTTGCCATTAGTATGCCCACTTTCTTATTCATCAGAACAAATGCCGTAACAGCTTTTGGGAGAGAAAAACTATTAAACTGGATAGCATTTGTAGAAGGTGATAAGTACTGTGTATCATCATGAACTGCTACAAGGGATGTCATTTAGAAAATCCATGCTTTTGTGTCTTTTCTCTCTAGGGTACGGAGGTCAAAGCCATAACTTACTCAGCAATGCAGATCTGTGAAGACGAAAAGCCAGAAGTCTTTGTCATCATTGACATTTAAAGCAAGAAAAGTGTGGTTGAGTGGATACTTGGCATTGGCTGGCAAAAGTGCCTTGAAAACTGTAATCCCTGTGGAAGTAACTAAGGAATTTGCCAATTCAAGTCATAAATTGAAGGGCCTAACTGTGGGGAATGTCAGCCCCTGTTTTGACTTGAGGATGGTGAGACAGAGAAATACCTGCATGCCAGGAAAAAAAAAAGAACTAGTTGGGGTTTTGGGGGTGTTGAGAAGAAGAAAGAGGGTTGCAGGAGTTGAAAGTCTCTCAGGAATGCTAGTAGTCAGTTTTTAAGGCTGATATGTGTTAGGTGCTGTATGAACTAAATAGAGAAATTAGTGGAGCTGCTAGCTAAAATACTACCTTTTTGTACAGTGGCAGGAGGTAAATGTTCATTGACATGATTTCATTTTTAGATTTAAATACTCTAATTCTGAGGTGGCAGCCCTCTCCATATTATATAAAGGGTCCAAAATATCAGCAGTGGGTCAGACTTAATGTAGAAAAATTTCTGATTGTTCAAAGGACACCTAAGAAAGCATACCAATTTAAAAAACAAACCACCACACCTTCTGAACTACTTAAAAAAGTCATGCCAGCAGGTGGTGCTGAATTGCTGTAAATAAATTTCCACATGTACATGGAATCCTAACAGCACCTATTACCACTCTAAAAAGCAGGCAGCTTTGCTGTGGCGGTAGAAGGGGATGCACCAGACTCTCTGTGGGTTCACTTCCAACTATGTCTTGCGAAAGCCGATTCTCTTGTAGAAAAAGCAGACAATTCAGATCAGCTTCCATTTCTTCCTTTAGAAAGGACAATACAGACAATCCTTTCATGTCAAAGCATTACGGGCAGTTCACTGAATCAAAATTAATCAAAAATAATCAAAAGTGTGGTTTTTTTTTTTTAAATCACAGGACAGCAAGCGTGCGTTACCTGCCATTGCTATTTAAATGTGAGAGGGGCACAGTGAGTAAGGGATGATGGATGGTTGGCGCTGACCTGACCTGCTTTTTTTTTTATTGTAAATGCTACAAGTGCCTCACCTCTGGAGGCAGGGTCTCATCTTGATTTCACTGTAAAGTCATCTTGAATAGATCTGGTTTTACTTCCATATTATGAAGACTGAGGGATAAAATCCCTTTTATTTTTTGAGAAAGCTTCAATGCTGAAATAAAACTTGGACTGAAAGAATTAACGGGTTTGTGTGTGAATAATTTTGACCAGCGGAGTTTTAACACCAATGAATGACATTTGTGCTTTTTTCTCTGTTAAGGTGAGCAGACTTCTTTGTCAGCAAGAGTGACGATAGGCCTATTTGATGGTACAAAAATAAATATGATTTTCACGCACTGGGTTTTCTTCCCTCCTCAGGAGCAGCCCCAGGCTCCAGCACACACCCGCTAAGGTGACAGGCCAGACACAGCGGCGCTGTGGAGGAAGAGCGAGGCCTGGGCCCGCCTGTTGGCGCTGCTCGAAGGGAACGGCTCCGGGCCTTCCCTCAGCGCGGCCAACAGCCCGCCCGCCCCGGGAGGTGAAGGCCACGGCGGGCGGGCGGGCGGGCGGTGCCGCTGCCGCCCGTCAGGCAGGGAACAGCGCGGCTACCGCCCCTCAGCAGCGCTTTTGACACCTCATTGGCCGGCTGGGTCAGGCGACTGGGAATTAGCCAATGAGGCGTCGAGTTGAGGCGGCTTGGTTCTCCAGAGAGGCTGAGGAGGGAGCCGGGACCGGCGGGGAGGTGAGAGCAGGGGCTGAAGGGCTGCGGCTGGGGAGTCCCTTCCTTTTGCCCAGCCCTCTAAAATGGGAGAAGAGAAATTTATGTAGTTAAATTTGTAGAAGTGCTGAGATGCCCTGTCTATACCATCAGTCACAGGCTGTAGTAACACAAGTGCTCCGCTTTTAGAAATGGTGACAGAACTTCCTAGAAAAACATTTGGAATTAACTAAGTAAGTGTTAGCCATCTTTTTTTTTTCAGTATTTATTACATACTTACTATAAAACAGGCCTTAAATTTACCTTGTTCCATTTCCACAGCTGCAGGAGCGACAGGTTTCAGCTAGCGGCGTGTTTACTGTTCTCCCGGTGCGTTATACAGGAGCCCCATGGCTGGCTGTAGTCTCTCACTGAGTTGGGGCCCACTGAGACAATTAACTACCTGAAAGCGTTTAATTAAAAAACATGCTAAAACTGCAAACCCTTCTTTTCTGGTTGTTAGTTGAGCAAGTTCTGCACTGAGTTCGTGTGCATCTCTGTGGATCAGCTAGACACGGTGGTGGCTGTTCTAGAAGCCAGATTCAAAGGAGATGGCACTCACAGGGCATACTAGACTGGTGGAGGCATTTGCCAAAGGATACTGCTGATGCAAGAAGTTTAGATGAGTTTAAGGGTAGAGCAGTGAAGATGTGCATTGGTGGTTTCTAAATCTACAAATCCCAAATTAAGAAAATCCCCTTAACTGAAAATGGCTGGATTTGGGGAGAGCATTAGGGAATTATTATACAGGCTTGCCCTATTCTCACTTTTCCCTAGGTATCTGTTAATGGCAACTATTGGAGACAGGGAGAACCTTGATGTGAATCAATATGGCTGTTCTCAAATTCTCTACAGGGAATCTTTGCTTGCTTGGCAGTAACCTCAGGCTACAGATTCTGCTAACAGGAAAGGAAACATAGCATAAAATGAGACATGAGACCAAACAGTGGCTCTTTATCAAGAGTACCTACTGGGAATGCCATTCTCTGCTCTCAGGCAGAATGTCTCTTCTACACATTCTCCCTGAGATTTTTTTTTTTTTAAATCATTTTAGTACTGAGCATTTTCAGTTTCTCTAGCAAGTAGAGGTTCTCTGAGCCAAATGACCGGGGAAGAAAAATTATTACTAAAAAAGCTGAAGACACTCCAGAATTACAAAGGTTACTTAAACTCTAAGGGAAATTGTCCACATAAACAGACGTTTTTATGCTGACTGTCAAGCAGCCGTTAAGCATCCTAAATTTATATGAGCAGGAAAGCCTTTCTAAAGTAGCTCCATGATCTAAGTCACAAGTGTCCCACTGAAATTAAAGGGACTTGTCGCCTTTATTATCTTAGCGTAAGATAGACAGGAGTTTAAGCAAGTCTTGCACCAGTCCTGAAAAAAAATGGAAAAAACCTGACAACTGTACTTCCAGTGATTGCACTTTTATTTCCTTGGAACCACGTTAGTGTATCTTTCTTTAAAATTCACAGTACAAAAACACTGCATATCTGAAAAGGCAAACTCATACTATCCAAGTGCACTACAGATGCTCTGTTCATTATTCTACTCTGTACGGCTGTGTGTATTCTTTAAAACTAATCATGCTTTTCTGAACTATAGGATGCAATAAGCTCACTCAGAAAACAAAGCTCTCATAAAAAGGTTCTTCAACAGGAAGAATTCCACTTGTTTTCTTTACTCCTTTCTTATGAAGTTTCTGAAGTGTATATACATGTTAATTACAGTGTCAACAAAAATGTGTTTTACATTTCTTAGCTGCTTTAGTAAGACTTTTTCAAAGCAAATATCAATATTTGTTTTTTAAAAATCTATATAATATAGAATGTTTGTAGAACTGTAAATTGGTTCACACTTCCATTATGAACAGGAGCTCTGAGCAAGTCTTTGAAATATAAACCAATTCTTCTACATAGTTTCCAGATAAGTACTTTCTGGATGATATTTAGAAGCAGTTACACTGTTGCATATCTGTAAGTACAAAACAACTCCTCTGTAGTCCGTATTTTGCTTCTCATAATAGAATTTTAGCTATATTTCATTTTAATGAAAGTAATAAACCAGCATTAGTTGGCAGGACACAAGTAATTTAATCTTGAATACAACAATAACAAATACACAAATATATCTACCTAAGATTTGGTTTCACCTTTTCATCTGCCTCATCTGGAATATCATCATTAACGTGTCGGACAACCAAATTATATGGTTCCTCCTCCATTGTCTCTTCATCTGATTTCTGTTCCTCCTCCAAAGCCCATTTGGAACGTTTGTTTCCTGTGGAGGAGACAGGAGAATGTTCTGCATCTAAATCGTCAGGGATGCTGTCAAAATTAGCTTCTGCTAGACACTTAGGGCACAGTCTGTAGCGTCTTGTTCCTTGCTGAACAACACATCCTGTTAGTTCAGTTACGTGACGCTTGCATTTTCTGCAGATCAGTTTGCCAGCTTGATGTATCTAAAGAGATTTAAAATTTGAAAATGTCAGTGTTCATCCAAAAGCAGATTTAAAAAAAAAAAGAAAATTCACTGAATCATTCTAAAAAAATTAAATTTAAAATATAATTTGCCAATTTAAATAATGAATAATTAATGTTGATGTGCAGCTAGGAAGCTTTTCTGGTATTAGTTCTGGAAATGACTGAACAGCTGGTACCAATGACATCTTGTGGGTTTTTTTTCTAGGCTGAGTCTCCGACGGAAATGGCGTACCGTTTGGAAGTGGTTACGTAGATGCTCTAGTCGGGTGAACCTTTTCCCACATGCTTCGCACGGGTACGGTCGCTCCCCTGTGTGACACCGAAGATGTCGCTTCAGGTCTGCGCGTCGTTTCACTGTGTGCGTACAGAAGGGGCATTTGAATCGCATCCGAGGTAGGTCATCTGTTACAGAGAAATACAGGTAAAATGTCAAATAGCAGTGGCCTCTCTTTATGTAGTAGTTTGATTACTTCTCAGCTTAAATAAGCAGCAGTTCATTTTCCCTCTGGCCTGTCACTAAATAGGAAAAATCCCAAAATACAATCCTCCAAACCCAGTAGTTCTTACTGAAGTTGTTAAACGGCCATTTGATAGTATATTCTTTCTTACTCAGGGTATTTTTTAGACATACAGATGATCATAAATACATAGCTATTACATATAGTCATCATATCTGACCCTTCCATCAGCTAACAGTTCATAGCTTTAACATTTATAATCTCTGTGTAATATACTAGGGTGCCCAAAGTCTTAAAAATATGCGATTATAATAAAATATAGGTACATTAGTTTCCATCAGAATGCATGTAAGAATACACCTGTCAACTTTATTCCACCATCTCAGGCATATGCTGTCAAGAGCTTAGATGCTTTATGTAGTGTGGCCAAACAGTCGTGAAGATTGGGCTGGTTTGGACCTTATGGGAAATGCAGCATCCTGCCAGTGACAGGACCTTCTCTTGGGAAGGACTTCGGTTGGATTTAGGTTGGATGCCTCTATTACTGCCAGGTATTGGGGACCTTACAAGAGAAACTCGGTCCTTCAGGTCCCCAAGTCAATTACAGCTCTTGAGACTTCATTAAATTCCACTTGGGTCCAAATAATCTGGCATGTATTGTTTTAACTTTACAGAATACATGGGTCAAGTTCTCTGATTCTAATTCTCATGCCCGGTTCTGGCTTCAAAGTTTCTCATTCTGTTAGGTACTATAATCAAGTAGATCAAGAAAATAATCTGCAACACTAGGCATCATTTTGGTTTTCATGCAGCCATACAAATTCTCTCCAAAAGATCATCTGAATTCTTCCAAACAAAGACAAACTTTGCAAAACCATATGTATTTTTTACCTTCGTTCCAACTACTCATTACACCTAAAATTGTGGGCATTGAGGTGTACAGTTCCTCTGCCTTTAATTCCATGAACTCAGGAGTTCTTGAAAGTTCTTGTTCTAGCTGAGCAACAGACCACTTCTTTGGTATCACTTCCGATTCGTGATTATATCCATAATCATCATGATCAACGTCATTCTCGGCATCAAATTCGACCTCCTCTCTAACCCGAGAGATGTGGCTGGAATCTGACGCGCTGCAACCTCCGCTGGCCCGCTCAGCTTTGTTCAATTTATACTGCACAAAATCACGGGTCTGTGACAGTCCGAGATGCTTTCGGCGCTTTCTCGTTGAGCCCTGTTTTCTGCCTCTTTTCGATAGCTGTGTTTCTGCCCGCTGAAGAATCACCTGTGAGGACAGGTAGCTGCTGTAGCTACTCCAGGAATTTTCATTTACCGTATTAGCCTTTTCATCTGGGATTGAATAGGAACGCCTGGGGTTGCTCTTTGCTTTCCTTCTTGACCGATAAAGAGATGGATGGGCAGGTTCACTGCTTGTACTTTTGGCCGAAAGGCTGAGGTAGTGATCCTTTTCCTTTTCGTTAATATCGAGTGAGGACTTGATGAATGTCTTACAGACATTAAGAATATCTGTCATCTGCAGATAGCTAGCAGCTGACATGACTTCGATGACATTCTGACCGGTTAAAGACAGTATGCCTGAATACACGAAGTCCAGGATAACCATAAATGTCTCTGGGGAGAAGACCTCAAAAGTAGCTATTGTCGGCTGACTCGCCTCCTTCGAGCTCTGTGAAAGGAGCATTTTGAAATAGCCGCTGCTGGCAAACAGCACATTGCGATGTGCCTTAAAGACCTTGCCCTCGACCAGGATATTGCAGTCACAGAACAAGTCTTGCTTCCGTTGTTCGTTTAGCTGCTCTAGGAGGTGAAACTGGTGGGAAGAAATCTCCATTCCAATCAGGGAATAAGAGGAAGGCTTGCTCTAAAGTAAAAAAACAAAGTATAACCATGACAATCTAAACTAAGGTTGCTGAATCCTATTTTAAAGGGATGAGCTCTGTTTTTAAAAACATGAACATTGTACATGGCATCACATTCCCAATATATCTCCAAACTCCCTGCATCTCCTAGCCCGCATAATAACATGGGAGAAGAAACTTAACTCTAGAAGAGGGGAAAAGACGCCTCAGCAGGGTTACTGCATATCCTAAAAGAATTAAGATTACACCGACGAAGACGTGAACGGCTCGCAGACTGACAAGGACTCGGCCCTTCTGCCCTGGGGACTGCCGCGCCCGACGGGAGAGCCCGCGCCTCCAACCCCTCCGCCGCGGGCAAAGCCCCCGCCGGACCTCGGCAGCGCCGCGCATGAAGGCGGCGGCCGAGCCCCGGCCTCTCCTCAGCCGGAAGGGCCGCGGGGGAAGGGGTCGGAGCCCCACAATTCCCGGCCCCGCCGCCGCCGCCGCTGCGCCGAGACAGAGGGACGCGGCGGCCGCTGCCGTTGCTGGCGGAGTCGTTGCCCCGAAACCCCCGCCGGCGGGTCTCCTCCTCGCTTCCCCTCAGCGGTGCCTCTGTCGGCGGCTGCCCGGCCGCGGCATCCTGGTCAGCCAGCTCCCCCCTCAGCGAGTCTCCCCCATGTCGCGTCGCGGCGGGGGGGGGGGGGGGGGGGGGGAGGGAGGATTCTTCTCCCGTTTAATTCCGAGCCCCTTTTTCTTTAATGGCGGCCACAGGGACGAGAGTCGGGGCCCCCCTGCCGCGCTCTCATTGGCCGGCGCGCCGTCACGTGCGCCTGCACAGCGATGGCCGCCGTCGCTGCTGGGGGAAGG